TCCGATGATGAAATACAGGAATGCAGTGAACTACTGTAATAGGAAATGGAGGGGAATGAAATTTGTTCTGTAGAATGAATCTGTGTTTGGAGATTCCAACATCGATCTACAGACTCTTGTATTGAAATGTGTACATACGTATATTTAGATAGAGTGTCACTACGAAATTGATGGGAAGTTTGTTCTGTGTCATGGGTTAATTTTCAGAATTCGAAGATGAATTTACAGCTGCATTCTCCAATTCGTTTATTGTCATCAAATAGAAAGTTTCTATCTGCTCTATGTATTTTATCGAAATTTTTCTATCTGTATTTCCAGTGAAATGGATTGGAAGATATGTATTTGCTATTTAGATAGTGTTACTATGACTTCTGTATGATGAGTTTAAGTTTTGGAGTTCAAAGTTGAACTTGCATTATATGTGACAAAATTGTTTCTAATAGGTTTTTATATTTAGATAGAATGTTACTAAGAAGTGGAAGAGAATGAAATTTATTTTATGCGATATGTTTGATTTCCAGAATTCAGAGATGAATCTACAATTTATTATCATCATCGTCGCCAAACGAGAAGCTTCTATCTTCCTGCACATTATATTTTATCGAAACTTTCGCATCGATCCGATGTATGTAGATTTTAAGATTTGAGATTTTATCATTTACAATAGACAACGTGTTAATAAGATATGAAGGGAAATGAAGTGTTTTATATAATATGATAAATTTCATTTTGGGAAAGATGAATCTTCATTTCAAAGACGAATTTACAATCTTTGTTTGTTTATTGAAATATTGTTTATTGAAATATTTAGGTAGAGTGAAGGAGAATGAAGTTTATTCTATACGATGAGGTTCACTATAAATCCATAATCTTTGTCATACGACAAAACTTCTTTTTGTCAAAAGGAAAATTTTAACAAACAGGCAAAAAGATTAATTAATATAAATAAAATATTTAACAATATCTAACTCTTGTTAATTTAATCGAATTAAATTTTGATCATTTCCCTTTGCTATTTGTGAACAGGATCTTTTCGATTCTCGAATTTTTATTATTATTGCATGACTCATCATTGCTACTGTGCATATTACTTTTGTACGTAGCAAGCAAATGTGACCACTCATTCTTATAAACACGTTGCAATAAAGATAGGTGTGCCAGTATCTCTTTGACCCTCTCCAAGACACAAGACAATTTGCCTACATGCGTAAACGATGGTGTTAATATCGCGCAATTAGAACCTACACGTCTATTTCAGTTCATAGCACGTTAAATGTTAGCGATCGCGACTCGGAGCCGCTTTTATCAGCTGTCCTATACCAACGGCGGTCTCCTTGCTCTAGAAACCGAGTCCTCCGAGTCATTAGCGAATTAGAACGCGGCGCGTAGGTCGACCCGGCCCGAGAGTGCACAGGCAAAGTGCATTGGCTCGTCGAGTGCTCTAAAACCACCGGCTGCTTGTCCCGTTGGCTTTAACGCGTGTACAAAGGACCCCGATAATCGTGCAGCTGCATTCGTTTCACACCTTTCACGCGCTTGTCTCGTGTGTATTTCTAATTTGTAAATATGTGTGTAACCACACCGCCTACGTATGCCCCAATGGTGAATGGTGAAAATAGCGAATAGAGTGAATCACGTGCGATTAACGTTTCGTCGTTATGTCCTTTACGTCAATATTGTCGCCGTGTCCATAGGTATACTCGACATGTATATGTGATGCGCGAAAGGATATAAGAAAGCTAAACTAACAAGTGCATTCAGTCATACACACACGGCTCGAACAGCCGAAACATTTACAGAAAGTGATGCACGTCTTTCAAAATTAATCAGACGTCAGTTTCATCTGTGCTTTTCATCTAGGTGTTCACGTAGAGTGTGAATCTATCCTTCATATAATGTAAAATATAGAAAATTCTATATGGTATTGAGAACACAGAACGCGATTTTTTTTGTGAGACTTTGTTTTCAACAGAATCGATTTTCAATGTTCTTCCGTTACATTAACGTCATTTCAAGCTTCAAATGATTAAATTTTGTGATTCTTGCCGTACTGGTTGGATTCTCAGCCTTCGAAGTAAACGACTATCTTTAGCAATACCACTTTAATCTCTTTGTTCTATAAAATAATAGTTACCAAATTAATTACTAAATTGTTAAATATTAACATATTAAACAAGACGCTGCAATATTCAATATTTATGTAAGATTACTTGGTATAAACGAACCAAATTATGCAGAAAGCTACCAACCTTTAATGATCTGAATAATTGAGTACTTAGTTCGAAGATGTTAATTTGGAAAGAAAACTAACTTTATTTCTATCGAATACATGTTATTTCCTATTTTTGTTTCAATGCTTTATTTAACAATATTATTTTCTATAATTCTTGTGAACTGGTATTATTCAACAACTTCAGTTTCAGTTCCGTCCGCATCAAGGCTAAGCGTAAAAAGGAACTATAGCGTGAATAATTTGAATAATTGTAGACTATAAGAGTGTTATTCTACGGGTTGGTAAATTTTTGCGAAAATTACAGGATCCGACTAATTCTCTGTCAGTTCTTGAAGCTTCACTATCATGAATCGTAACTTCGCCCAAATAACAAGATAATTTCCGAGATTCATTTCGCTTCTTCAAAACATAACTGTCTCCGCTTCTCACTACCGAAGAAGAATATTAAAAATCGATTGTTCCCTCGAGAACAAAAGAAATTTCGTTTCCTTTCATTTCCCTTCGATCATCCCTTCCTGATAGCATCGTGATAGCATCCTATAGACACATGTGCATCTATCTACACACAGATTGTCGATTTCATATTCAAAGCGGAACGTGAGTCTTTGACTCTTGGAGCAATCCGTCGCCGCACCCTTGAGTCGTCCACCAATTACAACGAATGCTTTGTGATAATTAAAACGTACGGTAGTGATCACAAGCGGGGCAGCTCTTTCGATCGGGCGCGAGGGTTCAACGGCGTGCAGAGAGGCGGTTTCTTGCACATATGGATGCACTGGTGACGGTGGTGAGGCCCCGCGGTGACCTGGCAGGATCGATGCTCCCGATAACTATACGCGTTTCCTCTTGGCTAGCAGCGATTTTGCGTTATCGCTCTGCCGACGATTGTTGCATCATCGCTAGGCATCGTCGTTCCTTGTATAAGCATGTTATGAACGCGCGCGTACACGGCTCAATGCCAACAGTCGGATGCAACCTGATGTGAATTTTGTTTCAACGATGCGAAGACTTTGCGGATGCTTGTGTAAATTTGTAGTGTATAAAATTTTGCGACAGAATTTTGTTAGATTCTGGACGATGAGAGTGAGCAGATAACGCTTTTGAAAACTTCAAACAGCAGATTTTGTTT